CGCTCCGATCAGGAAAGATTTGTCGCATTCGTTATCCCATCCCGTTACAAATGCATCATTCCAGTCGACCGTCAAATCTATCTCCTCCGCTTTTGCACCATTCATTATTTCTTCACTTTTGCTTCCAATCACCTAAAGCACAAAAAAATAACAGTCAGCGCTAGCGCATTCAATGAATGGACATTTTCAGTGCCTTTCACGCTCTCTTTGAAGAAAGTACCATTGACAGCCTTGCCAAAACATAACTGCTGCTCATAGAGCGCAATCACAGCCCATTTTCTGCGCCCCGCACGTCCCCCCCTCCCTCCCCTTCTCCCTCCTTTGCCCTTCAGCCCTTCCTGCCACATAGAATATGAATAAAGCGTCCGCATTTCTAACTATTGCCGTGCCAAAAAGAGCGAAATGTGCACGCAAAACGCAAATTTGGTAAAAGCCGTTGCCCATGTTGGACGGAACGAAGGGTCACGGAAAAAACGGTTCTCATGTACAAAAAAAACGCTTTGCCGTGTTAGCGCGCAAGATAATATCTCAGTAACGAAATTATGAAAAAAATCTTGACAAATATATAATGCTTACTCCATGTCTAGAAGATACAGCCGAACAAGTGGTTGATATATGTTAGATAGAAAATGATCACTCGGATGGCCCTCAAGGAAACGGTGCACGTATACAGGAGAAAACGAGTGGAAAAACGAGAAAATCACACACTGAGAAGGGATCAAGCAAAGCTGCCCCCCCCCTCTCTCCCCCCACAGCTATATCACGGTAATACCGGCAGCCACAGACTCGCAATCGAGACGATCTCTACAGAACAATTTCTCCCGCAAAGAAAATTTCCTTGCAGAAATGCTTACCTCGGTATTCAGAATGTGAAGTTGATGCATTCGAATGAGAAGTTTGTTGGAATGTCGGTGAACATGGCGCTGGAAAGAGGAGTCCACAGCAAAAGCCGGAGGATTGTATTCGGGCAATGCTGCCCAGCCTTCATGGAATACTGATGTCAGAACGGTACTTTTCTTTTTTGGTGTATTTTTACCAGCGACCTGGGCGCCTTTGGGGATTATCAAGCGCCAAACAAATTCGCGTATTTTCTCATCACCACGATATTCACGAATACAGTGCAGCAGCAATGTTCTGAAAAATGCAGCCGGTTAAAGTTCGATTTTTTAAGTAATATTATTGGCACAGCCCCTCTATAATATATGAATACAGCATGTTAAAGTTCGTGTTTTTCTTTCAATAACATTATTAACATAATTTCTCTATAATTTATACTGTGGCCAAACAACGGATAAGATGTCAAGCTGATACATAATCGCCGAAATGCAATAACGCAGACTGTACTCTTTACAATCTAAACAATCCAGCACGAGAACAACACTCTCAGCAGCAGCTGTAGGACGATGCAGTGCCGTCGATCACGGAGCTTTAGTAGTTCTAATATTACGAAAAAATGTGAGAAGTGTGCCATACTTCTACCACAAATATGTCAAACAAACCTTGAGATGTGTTCAATATCAGCTTCTGTGACGCATTCCTTCACGTCGCACATGCCACGCATCACTTTCCAGCGACCCCAACCAAACTGTCCAAGTACTTTTTCGATCTGAACTTTTATTTATAAATTTGAAAATCCAAAACTGAAATTAGCATTTAGGCCAAAAAAGAGAATATAAAGACGGCACGCCGAAATCAAACGATTCAAGCAACAGCAAAAACCCGGGCTTATTCCCGAAAACATTACTTAAAAAACTGCTAAATGTGATACCCTAGCTGCTCTACAGTCTGTCTTCTATAAATAATCAATCCCTAAAAACTCTCACGACAAATCCAACAGCCTGTAAGCCAATCATGAAAGGTAGCAAATAAAATCTAGAACATAAATGCTGTGACTGTGAATTCTAAAAGCTCAACTAGCCCTGAAAAAGTGTCAATGCGATACGCTTTCCCCCCCCCCCCCCCCTCCCTCCTTTAAGCAGGCGTAATTTTTCTGGCTTACGTGGACAATTATTCTAAAAAATGTCTATAATTAAAGCCTTGCACGAAAGCAAGATTTTTGGCCCGTTCTGGAAAGAAATTTGCATCTAAAATGATATAGCCCAATGCATAAAATTATTTTTACGTATCCCTGACTTTTTACGACGCGGAGAACAGGACAATGTTAGCAAAGAATTTCTAGTAGGAGAATATTTTTAATAAGCAAAAGTCACTTCTAAAAAATAAAAGTGAGAAAACCAGAAAAAAACTTTGAAAGGTCAACACCCTAATGATTCTCTAGGTGCGAAAAGATTGCCGCCAAACATTTTAGAAACGCAAAAAAATGCACAGTCCTTTAAAAATTCATATCCCAACTGCACTCATTATCAAGTACTACTGCCAACTCGGATATGAAAACGTAAAACTTTGTACCTTGAAGTATTCGCTCTTGTTAAAAGCTAATTCATCCGGTCGATATTCGTCATCTTCACGGCGTTTCTTTCGATCTCCTTTACGATCTGTGCGTTTTCGACCTTTGCTACTGTCATCACTTTCTTCGCCTTCACTGTCACCACCCTCTGACTTATACACATTCTCTTCGAATCTACAATTAAAATTTTAATCACAGTTTACACTTTTCCTTCAATAAACCTGATATTCTTCATTTTAGATATCACCTCCTCCTGCATTCTTGAAAAAGAACGCACAGCCCAATCTTAAAACAAGCCATTAATTAGAAAAGAATGAAATTCAGACAATAACTAATTGAAATGTAAGATGAAACCTTTTTTTCCGA